ATCTGTATTCTTCTTCTAAACAATTTCAGGAACATTCTTATTCATTTACTTATGTGTTTTTACATTCAATTATTAACAGTAAGGAAAAAAAACTTGGTTGACTTGATCGAAATCATTAGTACAGACGAATCATCACCAGCAACTGCTGAAAATCTTGATTCAACATCATCTGATAATTAATTGTATTCAAAAATTTGTCACGTAAGTTAAATGTTCGATATTAAAATAAAATAAAGATTTAATACGTTCCTTTAGAGTGAAAAATCATATAATACAGATGATGTTATTGATTTGCTACAACATTCTCGTAATTCATCTGGTTTTATTGACCACAGCGGTTCATTATTAATTGAATCATCAAAAATGATGGTCAATTAGCTATTCAATGAATGACAATACCAGCAGTACCAAATGATATATCTTTAAGTAAAAGTGTCAAATGTATAAGTGGTTGTCAACGATGTAAATGCTCAACAAATAATTTACCATGTACACCTTTTTCTGGTTGTTCAATTGATCAATGTACAAATCGTACAAGCATCCCAGTAAGTTAATAAATGTTCTTTTAATAAATGATTTCACTGTATAAAACGGATTTTTTTCTTAATCTCAGATGAAAACATAATCAACAAAAGTAGTGAAAACAAAACCAACGTCGTCATTAATTAACAAATGTTCTTTTGATGATGATTATGATGAAGATAGAGAAGATGATATTCAAATGGAAAATCAAATAGATATTAATTGTGAGGACGATGGTGAGGATGATGATGACGATGAAGATGCACTTGAATTTATATATGAAAATGAAGTAAGTATCAACATTATTATTGTTCTACATCCATCGTTATTTTATTTTTATTTAATTAGAGTGATACAAGTGATTATTCAAATAATGATGAAATTCAACCAATTGTTATGGATATGTCTATTTATATGGAGCACAGTTATTGCTGTCGATTAACATCATGTTCACCAAATAATTACAATAGTACAACGGAAAATATAACGTCATCACCTTTACAATCATCAAATGTATCAAGTCCATTCGATAATTCACTGTCACCAATTGTTCCAAGTGCAAATGTAAAAGTAATAAATGCTTGTTATAAGGGAACCAGAAGCTGCGGTTGTAATGGAAAAAAATTAAAGATGATTTCTCTTTTTCAATTTAGAACTTGAATGAAACAAGAACATATACAAGATCAACCAAGCGAAAACAAGCAAAACTGGATTTCAATAGAAACACATCTTCACAAAGTACACTAAGTCAACTTAGATTGGTTCTAAACGGTTTTGAGATTGAATTTCACTATAAATTTTTCTCGTTTTGATTATTCCACGTAAAAAAAATCGTGATATGCCAGTATTCTGATTTCTTTTTATAAAATCAATAATTTATTTTACTTTTTTTTGTTTTTTATGTTTTATTATTTTTCTATTTTTTCTTTCATTGACAGATACTTTTATATCATTTATATTTTTATGTTTTATTTTTTTTTCGTAAAAAAATTAAATATTTGTTCATTTAATGAACATAAAAAAGAATATCATCAATGGTCTCAACTATGTACTTAGAAATCAGTTCTCTCTCTATTCATACTATTTCTTTACATTGCATTTGGATAGAAATGGTCTTTGATGGTTTATTTATGAGATCAATATTTTATCAACAGTACTAGATTAAAGTTATAAATAGGATGTAGCCATTCTTGAATAGCCATTTATTAACACGTTCGTCTCTGCAGAAAGAGCCTCTTTCTTGATGCTTTATTAATAAAATGAGAGTTACCCCTAATAAGCGTATTATAAAAATGTTATTTCTTCAGTTCTACAGAATATTAAATGAAAATCTTTTGAATAGGTTCATAGGCCCCAAATAGATATAGATGTCACTGACGAGAAATGCATCTGCTATTGATTGGAAGAAAGAAATGTCTCTTAACCCCTTTGACAGTATACCAAAAACGAAAAAATGATGAAACAATTGTAAAATAACTGGCAGCCAGCTGACAATAATTACGCAGCTTGTAACAACAAACGATCTTCATTAATACTAATCGAGAAAATCAATACATTATGTCGAATGATAAATTACAACAG